CTAGCCCAGCTAGCCCTCGTGTAGCTTTGCACGAAATTCATAACAAAAAAACTCTCTTTTCTATTTTTTTTCTGAAAACAACAGTGTACTTAAGATATAAACTCTGTGAACTCGTGATGTTAAGTCAAAAATCAAATGAAACTCTATGTGTGTCACTATAATTTTGGGGTAACGATCACGATACTTCCCGTCTTTACGTATCATAGGAGGCATTGCTAATAAAGTATTGTTTGCTTGTTGAGTTTTGCGTAACGCTACTCGAGGGCTATCTGCGCACAGCCGTCCCTAATTTTGAAGTGACAGACTAGATGGAAGGCAGCTAGTCAATACAACACACCGCCTACTCTTGGGCTACTCTTTTACCAACGAATAGCGAGATTGACTGTCTTATTATAATAATCCCACGGTTTAAAGGGCGATCATGTTCGGTGTTTAGTTTCGATCCCGTGACCTACAGATTGCAAGTCGAGCATCCTACCCACTAGATCATACCAGGTCGTTGTTAAAGTATTCAAATCTTCGAGTTATTGTTAGTTATTTTACTGCCCTCTTTTTTTTTTTACAACCGCCAGGATTTCATTGTCGAAAAATATCATACAAATTCAACCTGAGCGCCCGAGTTCACAACGTAAACTTTTTTTTTTTACTTACGTTCTGTTGCAGTCTTTTCTTGAATCTCACTGCTATAACTGCCAGCTCCAAGAGCATTTTCTGCTCTAACCCTAAATCCGTAAAGTGTCTGAGGCCTTAGATTTCCAATCGTTGTAGCTGTTTTTGTCCCTCGTATTGTTACTTGGTTCCAGTTACCTCAAAAAACAAAAACAAAAATTAGGTTGATAATTTCTTTGTTCCCCATTTTACCGATTAATGTCTTTGAAATCAGACAGAGAGTAATTATTATTATTATTATTAGTTATAATTGTTTATTTATAAAATTAGGATTTTGCGTTTTGCTTGGATAATGTACCGTTGTAATTGTGATAATATTATCTAATTATTTCTATTGGTTTTTATACTCTTGTACATATTACCGAAAACATTATTATAAGATTTTTTATCAACATTCAGCTTACCATGAGCCTCTCGCCATTGGACATTGTATTCTGTGATGTCAGAACTGCCGTTGTATGGGGATGACCACGACAGATCTACATCACGACTTGTTATCTTTTCAACTCGAATGTTGTGTGGTATATCAGGAACATCTAGTGAAGGAAGCATGTGTGAACAAACGTTAAAGTTAAAAGTTATTTTCGCGTATTAGGAGTGAAGATAAACAGTATTTTGTAAGATAAAAACACAGAAAATATAAAATACATTAAAATTCGGTTGTGCCTCATTTAGCAGATATCATTCAATTTATGAAACTAAGACTGACGTCTTTTATTTTACTTTTTTTTCAAACCTGGATATCTTGATTGTCTATAATTTTACTTAAATATTTAGCATTGAGTGAAATAGACGCTTGTTTCATATTATTTGATATTTTCTTATACGAAAAAATATATATCGTTTGACCGTTGGAAACAGTCCTAACTGTTCAGTATATATATATATATATACCTGAAATAAAATCGAATATCGAAAGTAAAAACCATGGAAACCATACCGTCAATCGATATTCCCATTAAAAACACCTATATTTCAATACGGTAGAGAATATCATCAAATAAGATACGTTTTCCATACATAGATTTGTGTACAGTGAAAAAAAAGCACACAATTTAACATAAATTCTAATGTAACTATTATAGTAGTATTAAGAAAATCAAGACGGACATCAGTTAAAAAAACCTCTGATTCAGAGTCCAAAATATGACGTGAGAATAAGTAAAATCAAGTGATTTCTAAATTTAGAAATCATCACAACAAGAAAACTGTTCTATTCCAAAAAGCAGCTATTAATATATTATAGCAATACATTATTATATTAGCAAATATACCCGCTCTTCGTGCAGCATTTATTTCGTTGACTTTATACGGACGGCAGGACGGAGTGCATCGTTTGTCATACTGAGTGCTGGCGATTGACAAAAGAATCCGTGACATTCGCGACATTAAATGTCGTTTGGTGTCGGCTTCACGTAGTAAAAGAACTGAAATGGCTGCCAAATACAAACAGTTCGCTCCATATTGAAACTAGATTTTTAGAAAATCGATCTCAGTTTGTCTACCAAATGTCATTAAAATTGGTTTGGCCAGTTTTTCACACAAGCATGTGACGTCAAGACACCAAGCAGATTGATAAGTGTTTTATACACATTTACCAGCCATAATATTAGAAATACCCATCCTCATTTCGTGTTAACATAAAGTAGGTATTTACGTGTTAGAGAAACAAAATCATAAGGGCAAATTATGTGAGCATTATTTTTCACTATAATAGGAAAGATGAAAGATTTATCCAACTTTGAATAAGATCTTATTGTTGGAGATCAATTGGTGGATGCCTCATTTGCAAGGACGATAAGGCTGACTGGCAAATGAAAGGCCACTGTGGCCCTAGTCTACATTTAATGGTTCTTTGACTAGAAAATTCCGTCTAATAAAAAAAGTTATGGTCTGAAGAGAGAGCTTCCAAAAAAAAAGGGGGGGGGGGATAAAAAACAAATATCAGTAATTGTTCAGGCGGGAATTAGCCAATAACTTTAACAATAGTCCAGGAACATGCATTTTCATCATAACAATGCATAATGAACTGCGTGAACTTAACTTTTGTAAGCGTACACACTTACGTAAACATCGTATTTCTTTCTACAAACGAAAGAAGCTTCTCCAGTGGTGTTTAGATCACTGGAATTAGATTGTTGCCCAAAATCGTATCTCTTTCTACAATCGAAAGAAACGTCTCCAGTGGTGGTTAGATCACTGGAATTAGATTGTTGCCCAAAATCGTATCTCTTTCTACAATCGAAAGAAACGTCTCCACAGGTATTAAGATCACTGGAATTAGACTGTTGCCCAAAATCGTATCTCTTTCTACAATCGAAAGAAACGTCTCCAGTGGTGTTTAGATCACTGGAATTAGACTGTTGCCCAAAATCGTATCTCTTTCTACAATCGAAAGAAACGTCTCCAGTGGTGTTTAGATCACTGGAATTAGATTGTTGCCCAAAATCGTATCTGTTTCTACAATCGAAAGAAACGTCTCCAGTGGTGTTTAGATCACTGGAATTAGACTGTCGCCCAAAGGATTCACGTAATTCGGTCAAATAAATCATGATTAACATTGTTGTGCAATGATTGTAGGGTTAAAGTGTGGCAACTACCCAAAGACGTCCTGGAACCATTCCTCACAGTCTTTGCTGTACAAGGTTCTTGAGGTGGAATAATGTTGTGGGTCTCATTTAAAAGACGTGGGCTATGTTACTTGCTTCTCCCGACTGACCATATATACCTCCTCACGAAGATTTGACTACCCTATATGACAAGGTGCATCCCACAAAGATTTTCTTTTACACAACGACAGTTACTTCTAAAACGATAATACCACCAGCCATAGAGCTACAATCGTTCGTGACTGGTTCATTGAGTTCAATAAAGACTTCCAACAATTCCTTATCTCATTCTCATCGATAGGACGTTTAATAACGAGTTTAAAAAAAAAAAACATGGTCATTATAATCAAACCTACCTGGACTGGAGACGATATTGATTAAAAAATGGTCAAAAATTGAAGCACATACCACTCAGAGACTAGTGGAGTCAATGCCACGTCGTATTCAGGCTTTAATCGAGGTACATGATGTCCCAACATGTTATTGGGTCAAAGTTTCTAATACTTAGGTCAATTAATGGATATAGATTATTACTTAATTAGTTAAGGAACTAAATAAAAGGTTTGTTTGCTTGGGCTACTCTTTTACAAACGAGTAGTGGGATTGACCGTCACATTATAACGCCCCCACAGCTGAAAGGGCGAGCATGTTTAGTGTGACGGGGATTCGAACCCGCGACCCTCAGATTACGAGTCGAGCGCCCTAACCACCTGGCCATGCCGGCCACTCAATAAAAGGAGGTGCACATTTTTCATCAGGAGTTCGAACACTGTGAGAAGAATCATGTTTATCAATAGACGTAGAGTTATTTTAAATTTTAGAAAAAAAAGTATTTCTTTTATTTCTAGCAAATATAATTCTAATATAGTTTATTTTCGAAATACATATTTAGAGAAAAAAATAAAAGAATAAAAGCAGTGCTTTAGAAATAAACTCTGAGACGACTTCTAAGTAATTCAGGTAATGTACAATCAGAAAACGTGCTCTTGTTTTCTTATACACGTAATGGGGCTATTATCCGGACGTAGGCCTCGTTCTAAGTCACTGTGATGTTCGACTTCAAGTGGGAACACCGTTTTTGTTTCAGAAATAATTAATTGTTTGACAAGGAATAATTCTTCAATACAGCTTAGTAGCCAGAAGTTTTAGCATAAACCATCAAAGCATCTTATACAGTTTCAGCGATTTATCATTTGTCATCTGTAAAAACTCAAAGTATATTAAAGTGCTTTAGTACGATCTTAGTTCGAAATTTTGAAATCATTTTTCATATTTTAGTTTTGAAGAAAATCACGCACTTTCTTAGTTTTTGAAGTTTGCTTACACCGATAAATCACTCGTTGACCCAATCTGTTTTTTTTTTTGCGCTTACCTTGAATGGTAACTTGAACGTTCATACTGTCTTCTCCATATTCATTTCGTGCTATACATGTATAGATGGCGCTATCATCTCTCGTAGTCGAAGGAATAGTGATTTCTGCTAATTTTCCTTCTGGTGTGGGGTCTTCTCTGTATATGTAGCTGTTCAATGTAACATATTCAAAAATAACCTTAGAATAAATAAAAGTCACCACTCAAACTGACGCATTTTAAAGCAAAACATTGAGTTATATATTTATTATGGCTTTCCATACGTATATTCTATAAATGCATTAACTGCTTTCAAATACATTAATTTACGTCTTTCGTAAACTTTCATATACTTTTTAAAGCGACTGACATCTTAAAAACGTGGAAATACAGAATTTTCAAAGAGCTGTAAAAGGCAGAAAACGAGGACAAAAAACGTTTATATAAAAATATGCGGATACCAAGCTATAAAACCACAGTAAAATACGAATTAACGTTCTAAGTAGACACGATGTAACAACGTAGTTATACTTTATTATGAAGTTGTAATGTTATTAAATTACAATAATATACTTTCTTATAAAGTTGTAATGTTATTAAATTACAATAATATACTTTATCATAAAGTTGTAATGTTATTAAATTACAATAATATACTTTCTTATAAAGTTGTAATGTTATTAAATTACAATAATATACTTTATCATAAAGTTGTAATGTTATTAAATTACAATAATATACTTTATTATAAAGTTGTAATGTTATTAAATTACAATAATATAGAACTCTTTTACTTATATTAAAAACAGCAAATCGAGATAATATATTCCACTTCTTCTAGTTTGCGAAATGAAAATCTACGTAGAATTATCCTCAGTTTGCTGTCTGTATATCAATTAAAGCCACTCGCGGTGATATATGTATGTATAATTAATCATAGCTTCTTGAAGTCCAATCAGAAATAATACTCCTTCTTTTAATGTAGCTATACTAGCGGCTCCTCTGTACAACTGTTGAATGATGATAAACAACACTGATGAGCGAAGGCCACCTGGAGGGGTCACTTGTTTTAACCACTCGAATCACTATACAGTAGTGTGTTGTCTGTCGGTCAGTCGTTAGGCACTAAAATGACGTCCCATAAAGGACACTTAACGTTGAGATTTGTACTGTCGTGACGTCAGTAAAACGTGCGCATGCCATGAATCACGAGAAGAATTATGCATTCTATAAGCTACGACACAGCATGACGTACAAACTTCAAAAACAAGAAATAAAAAATATTTGTTACTCTTAATTTGGGATTTATTTACTCTTGAAACAGAACACTTTAGGGGATCCTGCTGGAAGTTCATCTACTTCTAGTACTAAGAGAATGTACAGTAGAATAAAACAACCACCACGGTTCAGTAGCTTATACTTATTCAACTGCCCCCCAGTGGCACAGCGGTATGTTTGCGGACTTACAACGC